GGTGTCATTTACACGTGAGTGTGTGAATAGGAGAGAGAGCAGATGAGGTTGCCCAAGCAGAGGGCGGTGCATGAACAGCGGGCTGAGAGCGGAATCCTGAGGCAACACTAACATTTCGGAGGGGCACAGAGGAAGAGGAGGACAAAGAAGGATGTGGGGGAACAACAACAACAATTGCAAGTGGACTATACATTAAATAATAATGTATATATTTTTTAATATATATAAAATATTTATTATATTCTGTGTCCTGGAAGCCAGGGAGCGGAGGGTTCAAGGAAGAAGGGAATGGTCTTAGAGCAGATGGAACCGCCTACAGAATTGGTTGGCCTGGGCATTGTTGCTGTGGAGTGTGGAGGGCCCAAGCCAGATGACAGTGAGTTGAAGAGTACATGAGCTCTCTCGGGGGACGTGGGACCCCCACCACCTCTAGAGGAAAAGGGGACTCCCTCCGCCCCCATGGAACCCGCCTCCCAGGTGTGACCTTGACATCTGCTGGTCACTGCTGAGGGCGGTGGCTGCCCCTGAGGCTGAGCAGGGCAGGGCGGAGGGGGGTCGGACTTTTTTCAGGTGGCGGTGGAAGAATCCCCCCCGACTCAGCCCGACTCTGCGCTGAGCGGTGGCCTGACCCTGGGGTGTGAACTCGCCTGGGGAGGAGCCTGGTCTTGTGGAAACTGAACTTAGCTTCTCGGGCTGAGGGCTCGGGCCCAGGGTGGTGGCAGTGCTCCCCTTTGGACTTTGCCTGTAGGTTTGGTGCTAGCTCACTCTGCCCCTCCTCCTCCCTTTAACTCTCTCCATTGAATGTTATCCATTCACTTAAAACACTGCTTCCCGTAACCTGTGTTTGTCGTGGCGACCAGATGACACCAGGAGACATGGAGCCCCTGGCCAGTGTGAGTCGCAGCAGAGCAGCAGGGGAGACCCTGGAGGAGGGAGCTCCCCTCAATTGATGGCTGCAGATTGAATTTCCAGAGTCTGAGGAGGAGGAAGTGCTTCAATGGCGTGTTTCCAGGGCTTGCTCAGGAAGCCCTGTGTTCAGGAGCCCATCCTTTAAGGTTTTCAGATGAGCTTCTGAGTGGGGCAATCTTCAATTCCAAATCAGGTGCATCCTGGCCACCAGCAGATGCGTTTATTTGAATCTTGATCTTGGAGCACCAACCTCTAGGCACATGAATGCCAGCAGGCACCCCTCCTTTTTCTGGGTGGAGGTTTTCAGATGCTGCTTCTATAATGAGCTTCCTGTCATGCTAGTTCTCTGCTATGAACCTTGCTTCCAGAAGATTCTTTTTTTTTTTTTAACCTTGCATAAATAACTTTTAAACAATTTGTACAAAAATAATTCCTCATAATGTAAGATGTAACAAAACCAAACAAAATATGTCAAGACGGCAGATGTGTTGTGTGGTCCACTTAATGTTGACACCAAAACCCCGGAGTTGCAAGGAATGAGGTGTCCAGAACAAAACACCACCACAAAAAAAAACAACCCACAAAAAAAAAAAAAAAATACAGATAAACTCCTAAGCTCATGCTTCAGCAAGAGAATTTCTCCAAAGTTCATCCTCCTCTCCAACAGGAATGTCTTCTTGGTAAAGGACGCCTGAAAAATGGTCCAGAAAAGAGTGCAGTTACTCTTCAT